CATCTCTATTAAAAAAATAAGGATAAACAGCAAATTGTCGTCATTATCAAATCAATTTTATATTTTTGTTTTTACAACACAGGGGGCAAACGAGCATGCGGCTCACCTGATGGTAAGTGACTACCGCCACCCATGATCACCCACAAAACTAACGGCACTGCAGGTGTGCTGCCGGCCTTTTAAAAAGGAATATGCTCTTTTCTTAAAGTTATGTTGTCGTATCGGTTCGGAAATACTGCTGCTGGAAGTTGATTCCAAAGAGTGGTTGTGCGTGAGAGAAAGTGCATTGAAAAACGCACGGTGGAGGACCATCACTCGTCCAGATGGTTGGGATGAATTTTTAGTTTATGGCGTGTTATACGGTGGTGAAAATCAGCAGCAGGTATCAATCCGAACAATTCCTCAGAGCACTCCCCATGATAAATTCGATAGAAGATGCACAGAGATGCAACATAATATATATCTTTACTGTGGTTATGTGGTCCCGGCATAGAATAGGCCACTCCTTTTCCCGTGGGTGTCGTAAGAGCGACTAAGGAAGAGAAAGGGATGGGCAGAAGCGTCCCTCTTAAAACATCCTAAACCCTAATTGCGGTTGCCAATCCAGCTGCCAAGTATGGCAACTACTAGCAAACCCCCCTAAGGGGTAGGCTTATGTCCAGCAGTGGACAGTTAACGTTTAATACGACGATGATGTGACAAACACATTTCTTAGATTTCGTAATAGTTTTCTATAGTAGATTTAGCAGATTGTTTACAAATATATTGTAGTGGTTATTTATTTGGCATTATTTTGTTTAATTCCGCTACCATTAGTTAAATATTACTGGCAAATAACTAGTAATAAATAAGCAAATAACAATAAATAATAATGTAAGAAAATCAGTGCTACGAATGCTCCATAACTTCATGCCGAGTTAGTTTGCCTTTACACCATAGAGGCGCCTACGTATATAACGACGAAAGATCATGGTTTAATGAAATACAAAAGACTTATTAAAAAATAAAAAAAAAAAACCTGTATTAAAGACAATTTCATCACCATCACTGTTAATGGCATCTGGCACGCGCTTCCAGATGCCATTAAGAGACTACCGACTAAACCGTCTTTCAAAAAAAGCGTTCACGCTCACTTTTTATTTTTATCCGAGCAATAAGTGCTTTATATTATTCTCAATTTCGTGTATAATATAGTATATGTCATATATGTGTAAGTATATTTGTTATTCATATATATTTATTCGTTTATATATGTAGTTTTAGTATGTATATATATCAATAATTACTAGTACCGCATTCGAGTATTCTGACACTTGCCTATGGTTGACTGGCAGAGAATACTTTTAGCATTAAGTCCGCCATGTACACATATTTGTACTAATGAATAAATAAATAAATAAATAAAATAGAGGCAGATAAAACTGCCAAATTATTTTTTTCTTTCGCTTATTTATTTATGAATTATGTGTGCTTGTAATGGTATATAAATATTTTATTTATTTATTAATCTAACCAAATAACCAGTGTTATGGACTGCTACAAGTTGACACCTATTTCAGTAAAATATTACATTATAGTAATACTATCTGACTCCGTAAACGTTGTTTTACCATATACATTATTTCTAGAACTATACATGAAAATATATCGTACTACAATTATTATATTCGATTGTCATCTTGCAACACTATTGCGGAATATAAAGATCGCGATTAAACAACAGGGGTTGATCGTAAAAGCGTGAAAATTTGAATTTGTATGTATTTATCAATGCTAAATCATATTCAAATAAAAATACAAAATTTTGTCAAAAAAATTTAAAAAAAAAATTTTGTGGTGAGTCACCCTTGTCTTTGTGGGGTATAAAAAATAGATGTTGGCCGATTCTCAGACGTACCCAATTTGTACACAAAATTTCATGAAAATCAGTAAAGCCGTTTCGGAGGAGTTTGGTAACAAACACTGTGACACGAGAATTTTATATATTAGAAATATATAATATAGATTTATTTATTTATTTATTTAATACTTTATTGTACACATTAGTTATAAAAATATGACAGAGGTAAACAAAAGTACAGAGCATCAGAGTTAAGCTCGCCTCTCGCTCTAAAATCTCGTGTCTCGAGATTTTTATATATTAGAATATAGTGATTATAATTGATTTAATAAAACAGTATTATTTCAATAAATATCTACAATAAAATTACAAAAAGTCAATTATAAATAAAAATTAATTTTGTTAATCGCATCGGTAAAATTTCACATTGAAATCTTAAAAATCTTTATTTAAATGCGAGTTGTGCGGTATGACCACAGAGTATAATTATATTTTTTTTTTTTTTTCTAATTGGAAAAAGGCAAAGGAACACGTTCGTAATGGATAATTTATATAACGAAAACTCATAATAATATACTTATGTATGATTATAACATATTAAATACCTGTAGTTTGTGTGTAACATGTCAATTTTATTATAATAAATACATAATTAAATTTTCAACCGTTATTTGCGTAAAAATCCATAAGTGCATATGTAGCTATAGAGTAGACTTTTTTATATTCCAATGAGGCAAAGGAACGCGGACATAATAGATAAAGAAAAAATATCTGCGTATAGCAATGGTACATAAAACACGACACGTAATCTGACACGTAAATATTATAATAACAGCAAATAGAATAATTTATTTGTGTAAATATCCATAAATGCATGTAAAAGTGTAGTGCAAGACTTACCTGGTGGGGTAGTGGGTTCAACTTCTTTTGGTGCTTGTGAGTAGCTCTTGCCGAATGTGGTGAGTGCTTGGTAACTCTCACCAGTCAGCCAACCGGCGAGTAAAATCGGCAATATGGCCGCCGCAGCCTGCCTTCTGCACCACATCTCGACCCGCAAAACACACGCATCGTGTATTACCAGCTTTATAATTCGAATCGTGTAACTTTACGTCGTATGGTATGTTCGAATTTCAAAATGCCGATTTTTTACATTGTTATTTTTAAATTAATAAAATTAATTTTTAATTCTACAATTTTAAGCCAATTCGATTATTATAAATGATTTTATTTTAATTATTACATCGGAAATTTCTTTTAATTTATAGTAAACAAACAAGTAATATTTATGAAGCAAGAACCATTAAATTTTAATATCGCTCTAGTTATAACTTAACATCGAATCACCAAAGTTTATGTTTTTTTTTTAATAGCCGTTTTAACGAAGACCTTTATTACTTTATAAAGACCTTGGTTATGCACATAAATGTACGTATTTGTAAATAGGTATTAATTATGTTTTATGGAACTTAAAAAATATATATAACATATTTCCGTATTCCCAAAATAAAATAGGTATGGTTGTTACAGCTTTTGTAAAATTCCCTGCATTATGAAACCTTAAATTTTATCTATTCTCTACCCCAAAATAAGGGATATTCGAATTAATCGGTAGATTGGTATCTAAGTTTTCTTTGCCGCATTCATATAACAGAACAGGATATCCGATGATGCTGTCTCGTTCTATCATACGTATAGGGTAGGGAAAATATATCTATCGATAAATACATCTACTAATTATCCAAGGAGACTGATCTATTCCATTATTCCATCTGTTCCACTATCTAACTGTCAAAGTTATTAAACCATATATTAATCAGTTAATACTGATATATAAAAAAGTATATAAAAGATTGAAAAATTATGGCAACATTCGTATGTAACCTATAACGTTTTTTAATTTTTTTTTCTTATTTACTACCGGATCCAGATGTGGTGTAGACTTTTTTGTTAATAAAATCTAATTGGAAAAAAAAGGTAAACGTTTTAAATATAAATACGTATTTATTATTTGTAGTTTTACTCACGTTTTTAGATTTCTATAACCAATAACTATCATTCCTTCTATGTAATTCCTTGTTCTTAGCACCTAATGCAATAAATGCAGCAAGGTTTTTGTATGAATGCAAATTGGTAAACTAAGAACAGAAATTATAAAAAAATATATTAGGCGTTGCTGAAACAGCCAACTCGTGACGACGGCAAGTCTGATTGCACTCCTGTCTCTTAAAAGCCATAAATCATGCAACAAAAAAATAAATAAACCAGGCTGAAAACTGTAACATATTAATAAAGGAATTAATATTATAAATTCACGCCTTGTGGGCAGGCAGACGAAATGGGTGCCTCTAAGTATTGCTTCATTCACTTTCATCGCATGCAAATTTTTACTTGGCTCTTTAAAATTATAATCAGCTAAATATTTTGAGAAATCAATAGTGTTTTAATTAATAAAATAATGTGAGGTAATAATGTAATAACTACCGGTTTAATTTACTAGTAATTTGATCGAGAAAGCTCGACTAGTTTCGGGATCATCCGGGGCACTTAGTTTTGAGCGGCTATGATGCAAACGCGAGATCGATTTATTTTAAATCTTCTAATTTTCTTATGTTTAGGATTTATTAATATGACGTAACAGACATTTTGAAGTAAAAATTGAAACAATTATATTTTTTTATAGTTGTAGGTCAAACTCACCCTACCTGATGGTAAGCAAGTAATTTGGTCTCACTTGAGAGTTGCCACAACAGCAATCATGTACTGTATATATTTTTTATGCATTCATTACGTTAGGTAGAAGAATAATAATTAAAAATAGATTAATTTTTCATTAACAATTTTTTAACCAATAAAATAAAGCATAAAACAAGTCTGACCTTTGAACATGTAATTTCGCAAGCAAAACAAAATATAAAGTTTCAACCATTCATATAAAATAATAAAATTATGCAATTAAATGCTACGTAGAGTTATGTATAGTAAATTAAATGCCAAACGTGAACTAGAGCAATGGAAATAATAACAGCTAATAATCGAGTTAAAGCCATTTATTCACACTATTCCTGCATGCTGCGTATCGCTAGATGTGTGAAGTGTATGATCGTGTTTAAATGAATGATATATAATTATATATTTGTCCCATTAATTAGAAAAATCTTACCAGGTGGTGGAGTGGTCGTCGCAGGTTTGGGCGGATCTGTGTTCGCCTTTCCAAAGGACGAGATGCCAAACGCGTCGACGGACTGTACACTCAGCCATCCGGTTATCAATAAGGAGATCATAGTAGTTTTTTTACAGTACCACCACATTTTTATCGCACTGTATATCCGAGTCTTTATTTGTCGAAACGAACGTGTTTACGTTCTATCGTTTTGTCTATGGATATTTAATTTGGAATTCTATTTTCAAATTGCCTATTTTCTTAATGTTGATAGATTATAATTGAATAGGATTTTGCGAAAAATATTCCTATTGTGTGCTTGGTGAATAGCGAAATATATTTTATCTACTTAATCTAACGTAATTTTTGTTTTTCTATTGCTTTTTTAATACCCATTTTGTCTAAATAAGAACATTTATTACATAAATATCTAAGTAACTATTGTGACTCAAAGTTCTTGTCATTTTATTAACGATTGTGTCATCATAGATTATCAATTAATGTAATTTTTTTATGATTCTTCTTTTGCAGCCGCTGTAATTCTGAAGCCGCTGTGCCTACTACTTTTTTTTTAATTATTATAGACACTGAAATAATTATAATTTTTTGTAACTGAAATTTTATTTTCCTATTTTTAATAAGAAGTGCAATTATTGTTTTTTTTTTAATATTTAAATTGAGACTAATGTATATTTTTTATGAATAATAAACGTATGTATTTATGTAATTGATAATTTTCATATTGTTATTACATCAAAAATATGTAGAAATATAAGGGGAAAGTAGTTTTTAAGCATATTTACAGCTCAATAAATTAATTAACAATTAATTATGTCAAATTATTAACTATTACGTGTATCTATGTTCGTAGTTATACCATAGATAATACGAATACATATTAAAAAAAAAAACTGATTTTAAATCTCCACTACGCTGTTCCAAAGCGGGTTAGTGGATTCAAAATTGTGACGACTTATATACAGTTAAAGTCGTATAAACCGAAATATTATAATCTGCTTGCATTGCTCTGTAATATCAGAGCTTCTCGTTCTCAGATACAGCTCTCATAGACAAGAAATAGACAATAAAAATGCTCGCACGAGAAATAATGAGACAGATATGCATGGGTAATATGGATACCGATCCGATATATATATATTGGCTTCGTTTGGGCATTAATGGCGGGAAAAAGGTCATCGCCCATTTTGATATCGCCCATATCGGTCGGGTATCTATTTTTGAATATATTAAAAGTCTGTTATACGATATTATGTTTTTGGTAACAGATATTCGTTATTGGACTAGTGTATAGATATTTAAACTAAAATATATAGTTATTTCCATATATTACCCATCCCTAGAGACAGCGTATATCTCCATCTCATTCTATCTCATGGACTGGCTAGCGATAACGATTTTAGCCATATTCGTTTGCCACTTGTCCGGTGGGTTATTCTATTATTATTCAGAAGTGCAAGTAGATTAGGGAAATTACCTAAATCTGAACTCTTACCCGTCGGCGGCGTGGGCGTTGGTCTTAACGTGGGCGCTTCAGTTCTAGCACCGCCAAATGCCGGACTGAAACCTCCGTGACATTGTCCGATTAAGTAAAAATATATCATGATACACGTAAACATTCGTTGTTGACACATTTTCTTTATCTATACCCCTCAATGTGTACTTTTTCAATAGCCGAATTCGAATTTTAAATTTTTATATTCAACTTTTTTATTAGGTGAATGATTGTATAAAAAAAATATATTGTAAATGTAATTTTATTTACATTTTCTTGTGCACGTTATTTACAATTATATATTAATTTATGACCTGACTCATTCTTTTAATATATTATACAAAATATTTCAGTGCCTTCCTACAAACGTACGCCTTGGCATTTTTTTAAATAATGGGACAATAATAAACAAGTATAATTTAACCTCTATGGAAACATGAGCATCCGTGTAATCTATTTCCGTACTGAATATCTTAAATATCCAACGATATTTAAAACGTTCAGTGTAAAAAAACTTGCAGTGACTGTCCATGTGTTCTATAAAAACGTGATTACCAATTGTGTTTGTGAGTTGTGCACTTAGTGTAAAAGGTCCCATTATATAAAAAAAATTACCGGGCGGTGCGGTTGGGGCGGCTGATGGCGGTCGCGTATTCGAGACACCGAATGTGCTGAGGGCCTCTGATGAGTCGCCAGTAAGCCACGCCAGTAGCAATGGCAGAATGACAGCGGCTGCTTGCTTTCGGCACATCTTGAAAATCCCAAATACGTACATTTATGTTACCTTCCAGTTACGTTCTATGTCCTTGTCTTTGGTTTCAATATGGCGCTTCGATGTTGGCGCGAATTTTGACGTTTCGAAAACTAGAGACGTTCGTTGTTGTAAAAAAATGTATAGGCGACTAGGAATCCACTTAAAACCAAATGAACGTTCTTTTACAAGTGATTCAAACAAATATACTTTTATAAGTGTATAAAAAACATTTTATATGTCCATAAAATGATTATAAAAATCTACATAATTTTCAATCTCATTCATAAAAATCATAAAGTTTGCTTTTTATTTTATTACATTTTTATTGTAAAAATAAAAGAAAAATAGTAAATAAATTACATTTACGTACGTTAATAGTAACAGGTACGAAAATAAAATTACTGGGTCTTCCTGTCGCCTATAATTAAAAGCTTATAATATTTAAAAACATGTGAATACGTAATTAAAAATGTATTATTGTTGTATTGTATTCTAATTCATAAATATTGCTAGTAAGAAAAATTTATTAACTAGTATATAACATCTAGTGTTGAGTTGTTTTAATATTATTGTATTTAATTACAAATTTATTTGGAATTATAGACATATTAGAAGTAAGAAATTTAGCATGTTATTAAGTTCAAATAGTTATGGTTAGAAATTATAATATTAGATTAAAAACATCTAGATAAAGTGTCTCCTGACAAGTATGGCTTCTATCCTTTTTCTAAATGACGCGTTCTCCTTGAGGCATACAATTAAAAAAAATTATCACAAACAAAACCGATTTCAATCGTGACAAAATTTTCCTGACAAATATGGCTTCATTACTTCTTTTTTTTAAATGGCGCGTTCTTTGTAAAACATACAATAGTAAATAAAAAATATACCACAAACAAAACCGATTTCAATCGAGGCGAAATTTTGATTGAAAATTTAAATTACTAAACCGACTTATCTGATAGTAAAAAAGGATTTTCCAAATCTGTTTATGAATGACAGAATTATGAGGTGACAAACATACAAAAAGAAAATTAAAAATTTTAAGCAATACTATTCTTGTATTTGGTGCAATAGAAATAATGGTCAAATTGTTATTCATATACTTTCAAGCACAAATTCCCTAATTATAAGTGCCATATTATCACATCAACCGCCTGCTCCTCAAGCTAAGATAACTCATGATATGAGGGAGAGGGGGAGGGATTGTTACTAATGCAGTCTACCAGTTTCATTGCAAACAATACACCCTGTCAGATTGACCTGAATTCCAGGTGTATTCATCACGATAAGCTAACGGAATCGCCTTTTCATCCTCACCTATCATCCTTCACTGGTGCCCCGCTAGTGTATACCGTTAGCGCAGGCGAGGTTACCATTCCATTATCATCCAATAAAACACCCTGTGATATGATCACCCAGACCCAAATCAATTTAGAAAAGTTCTTTTCCAAAATTGACCCGACAGAGATTTGAACCTGAGACCTACATCGTTACTTATGCAAAACAATATGACAGCACTGCGCACACAGCAGTCATCCTAAAAAAACAATGCGTCAGCGAATAGAACAGATAACGCCACAAAAGAAAAAAAAAATAGAACAGACGCTGACAGTTTACTTTTTAGTATTTTATTTGTCACTCAACGCTTTATCTAGACGCTATATATATATATATATTATATGTATATTTTTTAAAACATCTCAACAATATAATCACGTAGGATTTCTTATTTAAAAAAAAAATAGTCAATATCATTTAATTTATAATAAAAGACTACAAATCCAATCGAAATTTAAAACAAAATTGAATAGCCTTGAATGGAGCACATCCCTAAATCTATAGACAAAAAGTAACGTCTTTGTCTATTAGAATGTAACTGAAAAGGATAGCAAGTCATCGCCATGATTAATTATAAGGTAAGGTCAGTGCATTTTGTGTTGTAATGGGTTTTAATACATTCTCGATAATTGAGTTATGCATGTACATTAAGTACGCGTAATTTAAGAATAATGTTTTACAGTTTGATCTACTTTAAAACGTTGTAATTCAACATAAATAGCTGAATTATAAATATCTAATTGGTATTAAGTTCTTTACATTAATACTTTTTGATCAATGACTTTTGACCATAGTCTAATAAATAAAAAAAAAACTGTTTGCTTTTTTACTTTTCTTTACATTCTAAATAGATTAAGGATATCTATGCTAGACATAACGTACTTTGTTAATATCTTTCAAGATATTATAATGTAGGCAATCTCATAGATTAAGAATAACGTCTGCATTTCTACGGATTATACATATATAATAAATAAGTACCCATATATTTTTTAATAAACATAAGTTTGAAATTTTAGGCTTGTACCCCATGTTTTATTATCTTTGAATCGACAAGTAATAAGAATTTATAATTTCGATTGAATTCTATATCTAAACACATCAAAATCGTGTAAATATTACAAAATTTTTTATTGTGGCAATTATTTACATGAGTAAATTGTTTTAGTGTCCCAGGTCTTTCGTCTCAGAGTCCATTTTTGTTTTTATAAATAGATTAGATTAATATATGTATTTCTTTGTTAATATTATAAATACAGGCAACTACAGACAAAACGCACTTTGGGAGAGAGGGAGGGATTATTAGTAATGCGGACTACCAGTCCCATTGCTAGCAATATATCCTGTTAAGTCGACTTCCACGTGGTCTCCTCAGGAAACCAGCGTGCTAAGTTCCTAGTGTATTCATCACGATAGGCTAACTAATAAGCCTTTTCATTTCACCTATCATCTTTTCCTGATGTCCCGACCAATGTATACTATTATTCCATCCTTTAAAAAAAACACAGTTTTGAAGAAGACCTATGTTTAGCAGTGAACATTTTTGGTTTTACCAAGAGACTACAGCATGGAGTTCTTTGAAAGGGTGTAAAGAGGTTTCTTCAGGGTCGAAACCCGCGTGTAATACCTCTGGTATTGCAGGCGTTCATAGGCTACGGTAACCACTTACCATCAGGTGGGCCGTATTGTTTGCCACCTCAGTGGTATAAAAGAAAAAGAACAATAAATTATTGATATATAAAATGTAGTAGTGAGTGTTGTTTGTTTATCACCTCTTAATGCCTTAATGGATGAACCGAACATTATGAGATTTGGTATACACATTTTATATGACATAGCAAAGAACATAGACTACTATTTATCTCGGCCAATCAACATATTCCGTTCGGAGGGAAAGGGATTGTTAGCAATGGAGTTTGACAGCCCCATTGCTAGCAATATGCCTTAGCAGGTCGACGTCTACGTGGTTTCCCCTGGAAACCATCGTGAACAATTCTTGTTGAATTCGTAACGATGGGATGACCAGCTTCATCCTCTCTTTTTATTCTTCACTGGTGCCCCGCCGGTGTATACCGATAGCGCGGGTGGGGTTACCATTCCATTATCACCCATAAAAAAAATATATCGCGGAAATGTAAAACTTACAAAATAATAATTAGAACAATCATTTATATTGTCTTATTTAGATTTTTTAATTAAAATCATGCAATGGCAACTTTATTACACACAATTTTTTTTTTTAATATTGGGACTTGAGACGTAAACTGACCTGGGACATTATGGTCTAGGTAATTTTTAACTGCTATAAGAATTTTGATGGTTTGGCCGTTTGTCCGTTATATATTAATATCGTTAGGCGGTATTTTTCTTTTTATATATATTGGACAATGGAAATTTAATGACAAACTTATTATGTTTTGTCATTTTTGAAAATTAGTTTGACTTAATTCGGAAATTTTGACTTTTTAATTTGTAGAGACAATTTTGAAAACAACTATATCAAGTCTTATGTGTGTTACTTACATAAATACCATCAAAATTCTAAGATACAGTAAAAAAGGCGCACCGTGAATCATACATTAAAAAAAAATTAATTTCCCGCCGGACACGTGAAAGAGATAATAATTATAAACAATATTTAGGCATTATTTTTTGCACAAGAGCTAATGACATCGTTTGAATCGAAGTTCTTATGCTGGCAACATTGAAAATAATTGTCAAATTTCGAACACAGTTATAATTATTCTAGAATGATCATTTAAAATGTTTAAACTATATTTTTTTCTATTAACCAACTAATAGCAATAAATTGTTAATTTTTAAGTAGATGGGCTTGTTCTTTATCCATGGTTATGAAATCCTAATTCACTTTTAATAGTAGATTTAGCTTCCTAAGTTAAATTTACTATTAAAAGTAAAATTTTAAGCCGACGATTGAAGAAAAGACCAAATAATAGAAAAAAATATTAAACAGATCGAATCGTTTTTAATAAATGGAATTAATCTCAATATTGAAAGTGTTTATAGACTACTAAAAATATAAAAAAAAAAAACATACGGAAACCATAAACTGCCAGAACTTTAACAGTTCTGTTTTTGAAACTTTTTAAAAATTAAATTCCACTGTCGTTTTAGAAGTTACTGAAAAGTATTGCACAATATTATTGACTTTATTATATAGTAAAAAAAAAAATTACATAATTTACATGTTTTTTTTTTCTATCATAATTATAATAGTATAATATAATAGTTTTTGACTATTCTAATACATTTTAAAAAAGATATAGTATCTCCATCTTGTACAACACGAATATTCTAATTTATAGAAGATTAAGATGTATGGATTCGTACACTTGCTTTTTTCTTTTGCAGATGTTGCTTTTATATTTTTAAACAATCATTCATTAATTATCGGAATTATAATATTGAATGTATGAAATTTGACAAGTATTAAGAGATAATTACAGAAACGATGCGCCTTCTTTTCAAATTTAAACGTTTTTCTTTTAACACAATTTAATAGATAATAGAAAATACAGTGGTTTTTTTAAGCAGCGTGCTTGAGAACATGCAATCTTAAAATTAAATACGAGAATAAATTATTAAAAATTAAGAGAGAAAAGAAATTAAATAAAATAATATCAAATTAAAATTCATTATAATTTAAATCCATAGATTATATTTAAATCAATAATTTACACTTTCACGTCACATTTAAAAAGAGATAAGAAAAAAAAAAAACATTATGGTGAAATGCTCAATTTACAAAATTACATACCATTAGTTCTGTAGATTAGTGGGTAACGTAACAGACGGACATAATTACTTCATTAGTCGCATTGTACATGACAAATACAAATCAATTGCTTTGTATTTTGTCTTTATAACAAAAAAAATATTATGCAATATGGAAAAAAAAAAATATTTAAAAAAAAATACGAGAATAGACAACATTATTTATAGTTTAAGTAGATAAATATGTTTAAGTTCGAAATGAATAAAAAAAAATATTACCATAAACATTTTCTATACTAATCCCCTTATTGATAAATCAGAAACTATTTTTAGCAATTGAACTGTTTTGTCTCTTTTTTTCAAACCTATTTTAACAATTACACTTTTTTTACATTTTCGTCACTTTCTTTTTTAAATTTGGAATTTAAAGTGACGTAACAGTGTAATTGTTAAAATAGGCTTTGTCGAAGATATAAATTTTTATTAATAAGGGCATATTATTATAAAGAGGAAAGATTTGACTTTTTATTTGTTTTTTTTTTTGTAATGGATAAACTCAAAAACTACTGTATCGATTTTAAAAATTCTTTCAAAAGTAAGAAGCTACATTACTAGCTAGTAATATGGGCTGTATATTGTTAACTGTCTACCTATGCGAAGCCGGGGCGATTGGTTATTTGTAATAACAGATTGTGTTAAAAAAAAGTGATTACAATGGTCAAAACCAATTTTTTTAATTTAACTGATTGATAAAGTCTCTGTGAGATCAATCTGTTAGTGTATTCTTTCAGATAAAAAAATAATTTTGTAAATCCGTCTATAAGTGACGAAATTATGTGATAACAAACATAAAAAAAATAACTAAATTGAGTCTCTCCTTTGAACCTGAAGAAAATAAAAAAAAAAAAGTAAATTTATTGATTTAAATACTTTTTTTTTAATAAATAAATTAATATACTCACGCTTGTATGTTGATACACGTATATAGCGTAAGTATACATTAAATATTAAGGTAAAAAAAAAACATTTTTTTAGACATAAAAAAAAATATTAAAAATCTTATTCAATCTAAATACAAAATGGAATGTGTCATTCAAATTATGAATAAAATATTTTAAAACACTAAATGTAAATTATAATATTTTAAAGAAAAATATTACAAATATTTCTTTTTATTATAAATAATTAATTAATAAATATTACTAGATTGCTTACGTATTATTGCCTATTAAAACTAATTAATAAATTAACAATAGGTACTCAATAATTTGACAAACACATTCCTTTGCTAAAAAAAAAAGACAAATAAAAAACAAAAACCACAGATAAAATCTAAGTTTGTGCGTGAAGCGTGTGCTGGCAGTTTATAGAAAACTTTTAAATTTCGCATTTAGAATCCTTTTAGACCAGAGAGAAACAGTTTTATTTAACTCGTTAATTCGGCTTTAGTTTACAGTTTTTCTTTATCACTGTGTTTGTATGTATGGGTTTAGTTACAGTTATGCGTTGTCCGTTGTGTTTGTAGCACGTGCGACGCGGTACTGAACTCCAAGGATCGCGCTCACCAAGGCTGCACGCTTTCTTCGTGTACAGGCTGCTCGGAAAACTTTACCATCGACAATTTATTTCACTAATAACATTATGGTCGTATCTGAAGCGCAATTTCTCTATATTTAAAATTAAAATTTGATAATATAAAGAAATTTTCATTCTGAAGGCTGTTAAGAACTAAATTTCTAATATTAGTATAATACTATATTGACATTTACAAATACAATTTAATTTTTGTCATTGTTTTTTTTTTGATTTGTTATTATTATACATAGTATTTTTTTGTAAAAACAACAAAAAATTTGCATGCCAATAAAAACTATTTATTTATTTAAGGAACACTAACAGCATATTGCATTATAACATATAGGTGTAACAAACATTAAATACAATACAATATTAATGCACACGCCTATTATAGGTATTCACAGCATTCACTTTAACATAATTATTCGATGTTGTTATCAACATGTTCGAATTATAATGTCATTTAAATAACCAGTATGTGTCTACAGAACACATATGTTTATGCAAATAAATTTATTTTTACTTTAATAGTTTTAAATCAAAATTATTATACAATTTAGTTTAGGTTAGGTGGAGTGGCATTAGCACAATAGTTTATTAAATTGTCTAACTATAAATGAAAATAGATGTCGCTATTCCATGTATATTTCGCTCTATTTTTGTACCTTTGCTGCATAGAGGTCGCTAGTATAACAAGATAATGTCCCGCTCATTATGGTTTATAAACGGGACTTATTATAAATTTTTTTTTTGTTAGTCAACAAAACAGTAATTATGCAAAATTATCAATTTAAAATATTTGGAAAACGGTATGTATTACATATACATATGTAGTTTTAAATTTATAGACGTATCTCCCCTTATTCATAAAGACCTTCAAACCTATTTTAACTATAACACTGTTTTGTCACTATCTTTCAAATTTAGAATTTAGCATAAAAGAAAGAGACGAAACAGTTCAATGGCTAAAATGCGGGGGCAAACGAACATGGGCTCACCTGATCGTGCCTGCATCCGCCCATGATCACCCACAACACCAAAAGCACTGCAGGTGTGCTGCCGGCCTTTTAAAAAGGAATATGCTCTTTTCTTGAAGGTTACGATGTCGTATCGGTTCGGAAATACTGCTGCTGGCAGTTGATTCCAAAAAGTGGTTGTGCGTGGAAGAAAGTGCCTTGAAAAACGCACGGTGGAGGACGGCCACTCGTCCAGATGGTTGGGATGGAACTTTAATTCGTAGCGGGTTGTACGGTGGTGAAAATCAGCAGCAGGTATTAGTTGATAAATTCGGTTTGACGTGTTTATCACTTTTAAAAAGTCAGTTAAAAAGAGATCACCCTGTGCATTAATATCATATCGGGGGCACCCCCCTCCCCCACCAACAAATTATATAACCAAAATAGACGAATCACGATGTGAGAACATGCAACAATACTACATACATACCGACCTATAGGATTACACAGTAAACTGGCTGTGCGCCGCGGCTTCTCCTGTATTCCTATTATAATTACGTTAAATAGCACCTCTAATACGATAATGCGCGCGTGATATCCCTGGTGTTATAAGCGTCCATAGGCTACGGTAACCCGGTTTACCATCAGAAGGGCCGTATGCTTGTTAACCACCAAAGAAGAAGAAAAAACATTTTTGTTTTTAATTCTATTCATTCATAAACAATAATTTGTATTTGAAAGTCATAATACCAGAGGGAGACTTTGTACAAAAGTCGTTTGCTTGGGTACCTCTGTCCCAGTCGTGTTTCAACCGTAAAGCAGTTGTGTTTGCATGGCTGTGTTTCGGTTTGAAGGGTGGGATATGGCAGTGTATTTACAGGGTACAAAGGAATATTACCTGAGTCCTCAGGAATGGCAACGCATGGGGTATATCATGGGCGAAACAGTATACTCTGTTATGTGCATTACTGCTCATGTGTATAGACGACGGTCCCCACTTTTCATTAGGTGGGCCGTCAGCTTGTTTGCCACTCTAAGTTGCATAATTCTGTTAACAATTATTTTAATGAATAAATAAATAAATATTTACACGTCCGCCACAAATAGATATGGGAAAAGAAAATAGGAAAAAGGAGAGCAGCCCCTCTACCTCCATTTTGGGGGGAAAGAGACCACTAGTTAGTTGCCTTGTATTATTTTGTTTAATTCCGCTATAAATAATATTAGGGTATAATGGGGTAGGCCTGTAATGGGGTCTAACAGCCCTATTGCTAGCAAAATATATCAGGTCGACCTCCACGCGGTTCCCCCTGGAAACCATCGTGAACAATTCTTGTTGAATTCGTCACGATGGGCTAACTGACCTGCTTCATCCTCACCTATCATCCTTCACTGGTGCCCCGCCGGTGTATACCGATAGCGCGGGTGGGGTTACCATTCCATTATCACCCATTAAAAGAAACCTGCCTCAAGAAATAAGTCATTCAATTCAAACAATTTTTTTTTATCTTTCTCTTATTAGTAATTAAGTGCTTATCAGTCCTTAAAAAATATTAAGATTTCACTGTGATATCAAACTGAACTTGAATGGTCCGTGTGATCCCGGCATAGAATAGGCCACCCCTTCCTTTCCCGCGGGTGTCGTAAGAGGCGACTAAGAGATAGCAAGAAATAGGCAGCAGCGTCCCTCTTAAAACATCTCCAAAGGCCTAACTGCGACCAATTCACCAGCCAAACATGGCAATTACTGGCAAAACCCCCCAAGGGGAAGGCTTATGTCCAACAGTGGACAGTTAAAGGCTGATATGACGATGAAGATGATTTAATTGAAATTTTAATTTTAGAGGTATGTTTAGAATAATGACTCATCAGAATCGACCCGTTACCTCTATGGTTAAGACCACATAAGACTCATACGTGAAATATTTCACACTGCACACTCGACGCCTTCGAATATAATAGCTTGGTAAAGTCGGAGTGCTAGATACAGCGGGAAATTGCTAAAATAATTTATTTATTTATTTTATTTATTCATTAGTACAAATATGTGTACATGGCGGACTTAATGCTAAAAGCATTCTCTCCCAGTCAACCATAGGCAAGTGTCAGAATACTCGAATGCGGTACTAGTAATTATTGATATATATACATACTAAAATTACATATATAAACGAATAAATATATATGAATAACAAATATACTTACACATACATGACATATACTATATTATACACGAAATTGAGAATAATATAAAGCACTTACTGTTCGGATAAAGATAAAAAGTGAGCGTGAATAATTGTAGTGATTAAGGATAGATAGATACTCTTTATTGTTTCCTCCAAAAGATTACAATAGTAAACTTATTATAAATGTAAACAATTACAAAAGTAAACAATACAAGATAGAAAAGATAAAATAATAATAATAATAATAATAGAACAATACAAGATAGATACAACAATATAGTAAAGATTACAATAGTAGAATGGCAACGCATGGGGGGTATCATGGGCGAAACAGTATACTCTGTTATGTCCACGGTACTGCTCATGTCTATAGGCGACGGTTACCACTTTCCATCAGGTGGGCCGTCAGCTTGTTTGCCATTCTAAGTTGCACAAAAAAACCTTCGTGATTGACTTACTGTTGAATTCGTCACGATGCCCCAACTGATCTGCTTCATCATCATCTATAAATCCCTCACTGGTGTCCCGCCAGTGTATACCGATAGCGCAGACGGAGTTACCATTGTACATACATACATATCTGTCACGCCTGTCTCCCATCAGGGTAGGCAGAAACAATGGAACGCCAAATGCTTCGATTCAAACAAACCTCTTTCGCTTCTTCCACATTCATCAATCTTTTCATACACGCTCGCCGGTTACGGGTACTTTTAATTTGGCCCTTCTTCAGCACGTCGCCTATTCGGTCGACATACGTCCGTCTAGGGCGGCACCTACCGACATCTCCATTCATTCTTGCTCGATAAATCTCTTTCGTAATTCTTCTTTCATCCATCCTCTCCAAATGACCAAACCAACGCAACATTCCTTTGTAATATCAAAATTAAAAAAATAACTGCCTGTTTTGAAAATCCGCGCACAGTGGCGCCCACTTCCGGCGTCCAGCTCTAACTGCTAACATTACTAAGTCATTATACGGAATGCGATAGTGGTAACATAGCGTTATCTTCAGTAACATAATAGTACCCTTTGGCACCTTAACGATTTAACCAATCACTATGAATTTTTTTTTACAACACAGAGGGCAAACGAGCATGCGTCTCACCTGATGGTAAGTGACTACCGCCACCCATGATCACCCACAACACCTACGGCATTGCAGGTGTACTGCCGGCCTTTTAAAAAGGAATATGCTCTTTTCTTGAAGGTTATGTTGTCGTATCGGTTCGGAAATACTGCTGCTGGAAGTTGATTCCAAAGAGTGGTTGTGCGTGGGAGAGAGTGCCTTGAAAAACGCACGGTGGAGGACCGCCACTTGTCCAGATGGTTGGGATGAAATTTTAGTTTGCATTAAAATTTAATAATTTATTCTTTATTGTACACAAAACATAATGTTAACCACAATTCATTATAAACATAATGTACAAAGGCGAGCTTATCTCTAATAAGAGATTTCTTCCAGCAAAACCTTTTCATGTAAATAATTTAGTACATATACAGTTATTTTTTTATTGTGGCTCCCCCTAATGAGCACCCTTTCTCCGGATATTAACCCTTAAAAGCTGGGGGGAAAGGGATTGTTAGCAATGGAATTTGACAGCCCCATTGCTAGCAATATGCCTTATTAGGTCGACCTCCACGTGGTTCCCCCTGGAAACCATCGTGAACAATTCTCGTTGAATTCGTCACGATGGGCTAACTGACCTACTTCATCCTCACCTATCATCCTTCACTGGTGCCCCGCCGGTGTATACCGATAGCGCGGGTGGGGTTACCATTCCATTTTCATCCATTAAAAAAAAACCCTTAAAAGCCTGATTTTTTAAATCAAATTAAAAAATATATAAGTATATCCTTTACTGTGTTTACTAATGGGGAAAAAGAGAGAAAAAAAAATCAAAACGGTATTTTTATATATTTATTTTGAAAGAAACATTTGGTATCATTTTTGATACTTTAGGCATTACGGCAATCAAAATACGATCAAATTTGAAACTTTAGGTGTTTAAGGGTCAAGTTCCAGGTTATGTATCTAAATCTTTACATTATTCAGCTAGTTTCCTCAGCTTTCCTTTCCATCCATTCTTTCATTCCGTTTATACCTGATTTCCTGTCAGTTCTATTTAGTTCCTAATTATTTTGTTCATAGGTTTTCCGGTAGTCGTTAGACCACGATCCTTTGGCGTTGATACGTCACCCATCCCACTGTCTGTGCATCAGTTTGTTTTTGGTTCATATACTTCCTTCTAATCCCGGCGAAGAATAGGCCAGCCCATCATTTTCCGAGTAGTAAGAGAGGACGAGGGATTGCAGCGGCGTCCCTCTTAAAACACCTTACTGCGGTAACTATTATGAGAAACTGGGCACCTAACCTAACAGAGAATCAAACCCGAGAATTCATTTACATAAAACAACATGTCCGCCATTACACTACGAAATCCTTACTGTGATGATATTTTTTTTTTAATTTATCTATCTATATTTCATTATCACCATCATTTCAGCCATTGTCTGTCCACTGCTGGTCATAGACCTCCTCTATAGTCTGCTATAAATAACTGTCCTAAGTTACCTGCATCTACTGATTCTCTGCAATGCATTTAAGATCGTCACTCCATCTGTTTTTTTTGATGGGTGAAAATGGTACGGTATCCCCGCCTGCGCTAACGGGATACGCTGGCGGTGCACCAGTGAAGGGTGATAGATGAGAATGAAAACAGGCCAGTTAGCCCATCATGATGAATTCATCAGGAATTAACCATGATAATTTCCAGGGAGAACCGCGAGGAGGTCGACCTGGTTGGATATATTGCTAGCAATGGGATTCTTAGTCTCCATTATTAACAATCCCTTTTCCCCCCATGGTTGGGTATATTGCTAGCAATAGGAATCTCAGTCTTCATTACTAACAATCCCTTTCCTTCCACTCCATCTGTTGGGTCGTCCTACAACGGTCAACCGTTGAAATCAATATATTCCTTTTACGGTTGATCGCATTCAAGGGCCATATTGTCTCTATATCCGCTCAGGATGCTATGGTCACATAAATTAAAAAATTAATCAATTAAGAAAAACAAGGCAGTATAGTATAAATTACTTTGGCCTATTCTGCGTTTGGACTATAAAATAAAAAAAAAAAAACAGGTAGGTAGGTAAGTTAATTTTGAACTGTCAACGATAATAAACAGAGATAGCTGGCTTTGCTACGCAAGGTTGTTTCACTGAGTTAGAAGGTTAGAAAATAAATTATTCTGCAGTGTAACTATTACTTGGCGGCCGTGTTGTTTGAGCAAACAAATCGACGATCGGTAGCTGTCAAGTTTCCCGCCCTTTTTGCTTTCATAGATAATAATCATTTTGGAAATTGCTTTTTTTATATAGATAATGACAGAATCGTTACGTGTTTATTTTTCGATGCATACATATTAATTTAATACATATATATATATATACAATAGTAATGATATGTCCCTTAGCATTCAAACTTAAATTAGGTTATATTGAAAAATAAAGTCATAAAAATATCAAAATACAATATAGGTACATGGTTTTAATTTAAATTTTAATTTATTCAGCGTTAATTGTTTGTAAAAAAAATTAAATAAAGAATTCAATTTACTAAAAGAGATTGCTTGATTGATGTATAATCGTGATTTATAGTGCTTCGACCCCACAACATGATGTCTATGAAACGGTCTACATAGAAAAAAAAAACATATTTCATTAGAAAATAAAATTAGACCTAACCTTTGCATGTTTCGTTACATCCACTGACCTCTAACAGAGTACATTATATGAAAGTGTATCCATACCTTACATTTTCTCCTGAATGTTGGCGGCTGGCAGCTCGGTTCCGAAATTCCAAATTCAAATTAACAAAGAAGGGCGAGCACGCACATACCTCGAAACAAGGCCGATTAAAAAATAAAGCTTTCCCATTAATAAGAAATTCAAATAAAACCTTATTGCGTACAGAATAAGGTTAATTTTTAATAGAGAATGCATAATGTATATTTTTTAAACTAGGAGGTTCGTGTAATGCCAAAGGTCAAGTGGCCGGTGTTCCTTTAGTTAGAATTTATTGGTATGGTGTAGTGGACTGACCGTGTGTTGAGGCAAAGGAAACTACGACATAGGTGTATAACCTACTATGTGTAATAAATAATAGGTAATTTGCTACACTGCAGGCTTATTAGAATCACTACTATAATAACTCGTAAATTTAGTACATTTTTTCAGGAAATATTTATAAATCATATACAAGTAAATATTGTTAATTCTGCATATACAAATAAACTGTATTTGGAAGGACCTGGCTTGCAAGGCACAGGTTACCCTAATTTGTTGCCAGGGCAAAAAATATGTAACAGTGCAACCCTGTATTTGTTAATAAAGGTTTATTATTATTATTATTAAAAAAATAGAAGTTCAAAAAACTTCTTTTTTTTTTAAATGGAGCATAAGTACATAAAAAATATTAAACAAAAATTAGACAGATATTTTATTTATTTTTTAAATTGTATATTAAAATATTTATCTCTTTGAATAAACATATCGAAATATGATATATAATACATAGTATCAATAAATATAATAAAATCGTAACTGGTCGCTGTCTGTACACGGAAGGTACATAATAAAAACTATTATAAGGGTGACTTTACGAACACAATACAACCCAAAACAAAGACTTTTAGAATTTTTTGTCTGTTTGTCTCTACGTTTGTGCACGCTAATCTCAGAAATGGATTAACCGATTTGAATGCGTGTTTCACTAATGCACTGCGGTTTGCTCTGCTTAACATTTAGTGTTTGTTTTATTACAATCGGTGCGTAAATAAAAAAGTTATATCAATCTAAAGGATCACATATAAAATGCTATAAAATAACCGATCAGTTGTATTGGCTGAAACTTTATGAAGGTAGGTTATATATTAGGTAGGTTTGAAGCCGGAAGGAGACTTTGTACAAAAGTTATTTGCTTGGGAACCTCTGTCCCATTCGTGTTTCAACCGTGAAGTAGTTGTGTTTGCATGGCTGTGTTTCGGTTTGAATGGTGGGATATGGCGTGAATTTACAGGGTACAGAGGAATAACACTTGAGTCCTCAGGAATGGCAACGCGTGATAGGTATCATGGGCGAAACAGTATACTCTGTTATGTCCACGGTACTGCTCATGTCTATAGGCGACGGTTACCACTTACCATCAGGTGGACCGTCAGCTTGATTGCCATTTATAATTGTTTTAAAAAAAAAAGCATTAAATTTTATTATTTTAATATATTGATAAAAAAAACATATTTGATTAAATTAAATTAAATATATATATATATATATATATATATATATATATATATATATATATATATATATATATATATATATATATATATATATATAATACAATAATTAATGAATACCTACGTACAATAAAGTTATAACTAACATATATATCAATATGGCGGATTGACTTGTCACTGTTGATGATGAAACTGAAATAAAAAAAAAGCAAATAAATACCAGAAGGAAACTATAAGAGTCGTCTCTATGGGAACATCTGTGTTCGTGCCATGAAACAGCTGTTCAAATGGCTGTGTTTCAGTTTGAAGAGTTCTTTTTAGAATTGGTAACCCCACCTGCGCTTTCGGTATACGCTGGCGGAGCACCAGTGAAGGGTGATAGATGAGAATGAAAACAGGCCAGTTAGCCCATCACGATGAATTCATCAGGAATTAACCATGATAGTATCCAGGGGGAACAGCGAGGAGGTCGACCTGGTTGGGTATATTGCTAGCAATGGGATTCTCAGTTTCCATTACTAACAATCCCTTTCCCCCTCCTAGGGGGGTTTTATCAGTAATTGCCACTTATCAGACGAGTTGGCAACCGCAGTTAGGCTTCGGTGTTATTTTAACAGTTGCAATATGGTGCAATAAAGAGTTCAATAAATAAGAGGGACGCTGCTGCCCGTTCCTCGCACTTCCCTAGTCGCCCCTTACGACACCCACGGGAAGGGAAGGCGTGCTTAACTTTCTACTTATATTATAATACATATACACTTAGTAGATTACTGTAAAACACAGTTGAAATGCAATAAATATAATTATCAACGAACTTTTTTATTTTGAAGATTTTTTTTTAAATCCGTTGTATTTTCTTTCTATGTTTGTTACCTCATAACTCCGTCAGTTGGAAACCGATTTGGATCTTCTTTTATCTGAAAGAATATACTTACAGAGTGGATCCATAGAAAAAAATCGATTAAAAAAAAATCAGCAAAACAACCGGTTTTGCCACAGTCGTCGAAGCCGACATTTTATGGAACACAACCTCATCCTCGGTCAGGATCCTCGTCCACGGTGCTGTTCATGTCTATACGCGGCTCTTATTGCTTACCAGCTTCTTTCATTCGTTTTCTTTTTTGCTTTTTTTTTTTTTGTTTTGCTAGCACTTTTTTTTAATGGATCGTCAGCTTGATTGCCGTTCTAAGTTCTCGAAAACACTTAACGCACTCACCGCATGTGTGTAACGTTTCAGAATACACGTAATCGAAGGAGCATTGGCACAGGCTGTTCCTGCAGATCACCCTCTCCGATATGTCCTGAAGGAAGCACTCGCTCGTTCTGGTGCAACTCTCGAACAGACCTGTAGATGTAAATCATTATTCTACTGTTTGATTCGAATAAGCCTGCTTAAAGTGGGGGCAGGATGGGCCGTGCCCACCCCAGAACTGTCAGGTGCCCACCCTAAGATGCGGGGGAAGCTTCGCAAAGGCATGTCTAAGAGTACGCCCCTCACAATACTCACGGGAAATGAAGAGATGGCTCTCCAAAAGGTTATAATAGTAAACCTTATAATAGTAAGTCTTTTTTTTATACCACTGAGGTGGCAAACAAGCATACGGCCCACCTGATGGTAAGTGGTTACCGTAGCCTATGAACGCCTGCAATACCAGAGGTATTACGCGTGCGTTGCTGACCCCGAAGAAACCTCTTTACCCCCCCTTTTGAAGAACCCCATGCTGTAGTCTCTTGGGAAAACCTCGGCAGGGAGCTCGTTCCACAACCTGAGTGTTCGTGGGAGGAAACATCTCTGAAACCGCGCAGTACGCGACCACTGAGGCTGTAGGACATGAGGATGAACTCCCTGTCGATGACGAGCCGTACGATGGTAGAAAGTGGCTGTGGGCATCATATCAGTCTTCATCGTGCCTCTGATCAAACAGTTTATAACTACTCCTCTCCATCCAAAGGTTGCCTGCAAGAGATCGCTCTTAGCGATAAGGTCGCCCATTGTTTTCTCATTGTGATTATTTCTTGTAATTGTTTATATTTATAATAAGTTTACTATTGTAATCCTTTGGAGGAAACAATAAAGAGTATCTATCTATCTATCTGGCTAACCTATAATCAATACAAACATTCACAGAGATAATACAATACGAGACTTCATCGCTGAAAGAAATCTCTTCCAAGCAACCATTGGATGGAGAGGAGTAATTATAAACAGTATGATCGGATTTACATACATACATACATATCTGTCACGCCTGTCTCCCGTTAGGGTAGGCAGAAACAATGGAACGCCATATGCTTCGATTCAAACAAACCTCTTGCGCTTCTGATCAGATTTTTACGTCATAATGTAATAAAATAATCTTAAATATGCAAATGTACGCCTCCATTGTGTTATTTTTTTTATAACACATAGAATAAACGAGATGGTAAGTGACTACCGCCGCCCATGATCACCCTCAACACCAGAGGCATTGCAACTGTGCTGCCGGCCTTTTAAAAAGGAATATGTTTAAATCTTAGATTATATATTATACATAGAGTGTCTCCATACAAATGCTTCGAGAAAAGCGGCTCAACTTTTTCATACAATTTTGCGTGACAAATAGTTAAGAGTGATTCCTTTATAACTTCTATATTTATTTTGTCTAATAAATTCTGCACCTTTTTAATACGTAAACACTAATTTTTTTTTATTAAATAATTAATTATAGATACGTCAAGGTACATTGTGTGCGTAAGTCGAGTACGAGTCAGCTAATTTGACAATTAGCTGACAAAAAGTTGACCCGTTTCTGATGCTATTTTTTTTTAATACATGAAAATGGAATGGTAACCCTGCCCGCGCTATCGGTATCCACCGACGGGGCCAGTGGAAGATGATAGGTGAGAATGAATGCAGGTCAGTTGGCCCACCGTGATGAATTCGACAAGAATTAACCATGGTGGTTTCCAGGGGGAACCGCGTGGAGGTCGACCTGAGAGGGTCAGTTGCTAGCAACGGGGCTACTGGACCTCATCACTAACAATCCCTTTCCCCCCGGCTTGATGCTCTATTTATATAATGCATAAAATATTTATTTTTACTGGTCATGGTCCAGCAGGAGCCATCTCGGAAGTGGTATCCACTGAGGCATACACAGATATTTTCCTCACAAACGCTGGCCTCTCCCAGCACGCTGACACACTGCACGGTATTATTGCATTGCGCTTCATAGCCTGACGCAACTGTAACAAATAATGAACGTTAGAAACGGAGACTAAGTGTCCCCATTGATAGCAATTATCACCGTCTATTTTACTAAACTAGGTCTTAAGATGAACGTGAACGAGTCTAAAATTATAGAGGTGATAGGAACTACCAGAGGGAGACTTTGTACAAAAGTCAATTGCTTGGATGCCTCTGTTCCATTCGTGTTTCTACCGTGAAGCAGTTGTGTTTGCATGACTGTGTTTCGGTTTGAAGGGATATGGCAGTGAATTTACAGGGTACAGAGGAATAACACCTGAGTCCTCAGGAATGGCAACGCATGGGGGGTATCATGCGCGAAACAGTATACTCTGTTATGTCCACGGTACTGCTCATGTCTATAGGCGACGGTTACCACTTTCCATCAGGTGGGCCGTCAGCTTGTTTGCCATTCTAAGTTGTATAATAAAAAAAGTTTATATACGCAGTAACAACATTTATCTATCGATCCATACAAACACCTTCTCATCCTTTCTCATTAAAAATAGTATGGTATCATTTTACAGTGTGCAAGAGTTTTTGATACAAAAAGGTAAACAACCTACTTGAATTGGGGGGAAAGGGATTGTTAGTAATGGAGAATAAGAATCCCATTGCTAACAATCCTCGCGGTTCTCCCTGGAAACTATCATGGTTAATTCCTGATAAATTCATCATGATGGGCTAACTGGCCTGTTTTCATTCTCATCTATCACCCTTCACTGGTGCTCCGCCAGCGTATACCGTTAGCGCAGGCGGGGTTACCATATCATTTTCATTCATAAAAAAAAAACCTACTTGAATTAGCTATCGTGTTACAATGCAGCTGTTGTCAATAGTCCATGATTTGACAGTGACATTTCTTTCCTTTTTTATTGTTGACAAGTGTCTGACATTGTGATGTATTTTTTTTTATATAACATGTCGAATTTTAATGACCTATTTAACATTTATTCTTTTTAAGTTTTAATATTTGCATGCCTAATTATGGCGAAATATGAGAACTTATACTTATTGTAACATTTATACACTTACCATGTTTCTTGTAAATAAATAAATAAATAATTAACAGTTACTTACCCGGCCAGCATTCCTCGGCGTATGGCACGTATTCCTCGTCACATTGACAGGTGTTGTCAGAACATACCGTGTTCTCAATAACACAGTCCGTGTCCTGGTAACACGCACCCCCAATAACTGTAAATACATACATAGAGATAAAAACTTTGAGCCATCCATTGCACACGTAAAATAAATAAATAAATCTCATACAATCGAGTAAAATACCTGGTATGTTAAAATATTTTGCGACCCCAGACTTGTTTTTATGTTAATTCCTAATAAATATGTCTTTATAACTTATTTATTTATTCATTAGTACAAATATATGTACATGGCGGACTTAATGCTAAAAGCACTCTCTCCCAGTCAACCATAGGCAAGTGTCAGAATACTCGAATGCGGTACTAGTAATTATTGATATACATACATACTAAAACTACATATATAAACGAATAAATATATATGAATAACAAATATACTTACACATATATGACATATACTATATTATACACGAAATTGAGAATAGTAAAAGTATTTTGTTCTTTTTTTTACTGAGTCAGTTTCCGCGATTTTTTTATAATTACATAACTCATTTTTTTTCAATGTGTTACTCCCCAGGGGGTCGCGAAGCCTCTATCCATAATTATTAAAAAAAAAAAATACAAAAGTGTTTCGGATTCTCAAGGTTGACTGGAAGAAATCCCTTCAAGAGACAAGGTAGCCTGTGTTAACTCCGCCTGTGTACATTTTTGTTATAACCTAATATCTATACTATAAGTGAATGTACGAAAGTAAATGTACCAAAATGTACACAGGCGGACTTATCCCTCAAAGGGATTTCTTCCAATCAACCTTGAGAACACGAAAGGAGAAAGTGTCTATAGGATTGGTATATAAAGCATAACATATATGGTGCAAAAATAATATTTGAACTAATAAAGATATATATACATATATATAAACATAGAATAACTATTATACATATAAGTAACTCAACTGTCTAGTGTATTGTAAAAAATCTTTTTGTTTAAACTTTGAAGTCATGAAAGGTCTGTGCCATTCTGCGGGTCTACCATGTTTCGTGTCTCCATGACTCAATTTCGTGTTTTTGTTTATACCAAAATCGGACCAATAAATGGAGTTTAACATTTCGTTCGTCATACATCCTATCATAAACGTCCAAAGAAATAATATTTTAACATTTTTAATATTTCCAAACGGCATGTATTATGTAATTTTAACATCAAATTTCTGTTTTGTTTGGCTCCGAAATTTCGGAAAACATTTCAAGGTAAGGTTCAGTCGAGTGGGACTTCCAAAAGTCTAGCAATTTATACAGTAAAGGATTTGGTGTGGGAGTGGGGAGTTGTGTATGGATGTGTTTTTTTTTTGTGAAATACAATTTTAAAATTTTCGAAAAGTCGTGCAAAATCGGTATGGATTACTAGTGTACAATAAAGATTTACAAGAACATACTGGGAGCGCAGTATCCCTCGATTTCCTGGTATCCGTTCCCACAGGAACAGACTCCGTTGAGACAAGCAGTGTTCGCTGTTTCAGTACACTCCATGTCCGCTTGGCACGGGTCTCCGAGGTCTACGAAATGAGAATTTTATAAATACAAGGCGAAACGAAAAACAAATGGTTTTATCACCATTCTATCTGATGTAAATTTCTATTGAAGCCTTCTTGAAAGAGGCACAGACAAGAGAGAGCATACACTAATAAAAAAATAATAATACAGGAGTTGCCACCTTCCAAAAATAAGACACCCAATATATTTTTTTTTTATAGGTGAAAGTAGTATGGTAACCACGCCTGCGCTAACAGGATACGCTGGCGGTGCACCAGTGAAGGGTGATAGATGAGAATGAAAACAGGCCAGTTAGCCCATCATGATGAATTCATCAGGAATTAACCATAATAGTTTCCAGGGGGAATCGCGAGGAGGTCGACTTGGTTAGGTACTTTGCTAACAATGGAATTCTCAGTCTCCATTACTAACAATCCCTTTCCCCCCAATAAAAAATTGTTACCACTCACGAACAATTGATTAATATTTTTGGAAATTTATTGAAATAAACTTTATACTCCAACAATATCACCCCTCACTGGTGCCCCGCCAGCGTATACCGATAGCGCAGGCGAGGTTACCATTATCATCCATTAAAAAAAAAGCAACCCCTTTCTCTCCATGGTATCTATATTTGCTCAGGAAGCCACCAGGAAGCCACCAGGCCACTTATCGTGCTGTTATAAAAAAAATACTTACCAAGCCCAGTGGTCAAGCACAAGCCGTCCACTTCGATATAGCCATCCGGGCACGCGCAGTAGCCTGTACCGTCATCACCAACCAAACACTGGATCTCCATCTCCCCGGCCAAACAGTCACTGTTCACTTCGCACTCTTCACCAATAGCTACGAAGAGAAATGAATAATAAGAGAAGAATAAAGCGCCAGAAGAATCGAAGAAAGGCAGAAGTAGAAACATTATTTTTCTTCATCACCATCGTATCAACCATTAATCATCCGTTGCTGAACATAAGCCTCCCCGTAATGAGGGGTTTGCCACTAGTTGTCACTCTTGGCAGACGGGTTGGCAACCGCAGTTAGGCTTTCGGTGATGTTTTAAGAGAGACGCTGCTGCCTATCCCTCGACCATTAAGTTCCCTAAGTGGTCTCTTAGGACACCTACAGGAAAGAAAGAGGTGACCCATTCTATGCTGGAACCACACGGCAACAAAGTCATTATTTTTAATTCATTTCATTCAGGAGTTAATTACTTAGTTAGTTACTGCATAATCTATGGTTGCTGAAAGGAACGTGAAGTGTGAAGCAAATTGCGACGACCCACTAATCAGCAGCCACATTCACGTCGTTCGTTATAATTGAATTGCTTTTTATATACCGTCACCACTTCGTTTCATATGTATTCAAATTAATGTAAATTTATATAGTACAGTTGCTTACGTATTAAAATCATATATTTAACAACAAAAAATTCGTTATTACTGTAAATCCAGTAAAATAAACTTGGAACTATCCAATCGGCAAGGGCGAACCCAATGCACACATGCCCAAATATTAACAAATAATTTGGATAACATACATGCGAAAAGTCTGCACATCTCTCTGTTCGCGTCCCACACAGCTAGCTCCTGTATACATTCACAGTTCCTTATGCCGAAGGAATCGTTTTGCGGTGGTCCACATATCGCTGCGGCTCCAAATGTATAGCAATTTGCATCCGACACACACGAGTCCGTGATGGTTCTCGCGGCTGAAAAAAAAATTAGAATCAAGTATATAATTTATTAAAAAATTTAAAATCCCCGGACACAAACAAACCTTCCTCTTCTCATTTAACAGTTTCCTCTTGTCGGTGCAACAAATTCATGCATCTTCTTCCAGCCAGCTATATCCCAGGCCATATCCTTGATCTCCCTATAGCAAAATGCTGGGCCACCTTATACGACATGACGATTTTTTAAGAGCATAGTAGAGGGAAAAATAGAGGGCAAAAGAGGAAGAGGAAAACAAACCTTATTAAAGGTAATTATATTTTATTAAAAATATAATTCGTCAGGTCTTAGGTACCAGTCATCACTCCATATTCCTCATAAATCTAGCTAGGCCATTGGTCAGACAAACAAATAATTTTCAAGTTTTTAGTTTTTATTTCATTAGTTCATATACCTTATTCCCTTATAATATAGTGAATATTATTCTTCTAATCAAGCATTTTCATTGGATACCATATTTAAGGAGTTGTGAAAATAAGTTATTCGCCATTTTGTAGTGGCGGCCATCTTGGAGTTTAATTTGCCATAATGTATAGTATTTTTTTTTTACAACACAGGGAGCAAACGAGCATGCGGCTCATCTTTTGGCGTGAATTTACAGGGCACAGAGGAATAACATCTGAGTCCTCAGGAATGGCGACGCATGGGGGGTATCATGGGCGAAACAGTACACTCTGTTATGTCCACGGTACTGCTCATGTGTATAGGCGACGGTTACCACATTCCATCAGGTGGGCCGTCAGCTTGTTTGCCATTCTAAGTTGTGTAAAAAAAAAGTTATTAAGAGACCTCTTAATAAAATAAAAAATAAATACTACAATACTACATAATTGTGTACTGAACTATGTCGTTTCATTTGTGATTTCAAGAAGTATGTAATTGGTAGATCGCACAGGGTTTCGTTAGTAAACAGTAGATCTTGGGTCCTGTTAGGTCGGCCACCCCTGTTTATATATACTAGCTGACTCAATAAACGTTGTTTTACCATATACATTATTTCTAGAACTATACATGAAAATATATCGTACTACAATTACTATATTCGATTGTCATCTTGCAACCTTATTGCGGCATATAAAAATTGCGATTAAACAACAGGGGTTGATTGTAAAAGCGTGAAAATTTTAATTTGTATGTATTTTTCAATGCTAAATCATAATAAAACAAAAATAAAAAAAAATGTCAAAAAAATAAAAATAAAATATTTTGGGGTGAGTCACCCCTATTATTGAGGGCTATGAAAAATAGATGTTGGCCGATTCTCAGACCTACTCAATATGCACACAAAATTTCATAAAAATCGGTAAAGCCGTTTCGGAGGAGTTTGGTAACAAACACCGCGACACGAGAATGTTATATATTAGAAATATATATATATATATAGATCATACCTCTGACGCAATTTCTCATGTCCTCATCAAAGTAGAAATTGGCTGGACACGTGCAGACACCGTCGCGGACTTCGGCTAGCAGCCCGACGCATTGCTCCGCCGTAGATGGGGAACCGAGTTCTGTGAATAATGAACAGTGTTAATGCAGAAGAAGAAATGTCGTAGCTACTTTTTTTTAATAGCTGATAATGGAATGGTAACCCCACCCGCGCTATCGGTATACACCGGCGGGGCACCAGTGAAGGATAATAGGTGAGGATGAAGCAGGTCAGTTAGCTCTCATTGGTGCCTCGCCAGCGTATACCGTTAGCACAGGCGGGGTTACCATTCCATTATCACCCATTAAAAAAAAACATATTAGATACTATAGTTAGAACCCGATTTTTTCGGACCCGAATTTTTAATTACATAGATACATATTTTAAATATAAGGCCCTAATCTGACCTCACCATCGGCACAAGTCGCCCCTTGATGGGGTGAATTGTGCTCCTTTGTCTTTTTGTAGAATACAGTCTAAAAATTACTTGATATTAAATGTATGAATATAGTGTATGGTTGTAACAACTACATTAACTAGAGGGAGACTTTGTACAAAAGTCGATTGCTTGGGTACCTCTGTCCCATTCGTGTTTCAACCGTGAAGCAGTTGTGTTTGCATGGCTGTGTTTCGATTTGAAGCGCAGGATATGGCGTGAATTTACTGGGTACAGAGGAATAACACATGAGTCCTCAGGAATGGCAACGCATGGGCGGTATCATGGACGAAACAGTATACTCTGTTATGTCCATGGTACTGCTCATGTCTATAGGCGACGGTTACCACTTTCCATCAGGTGGACCGTCAGCTTGTTTGCCATTCTAAGTTGTATAAAAAAAAAACATATTGATAATTTATATATTATAAGTATTCATAGTACAGATAGTATCTTGCGATTTAATAAATACGCCACGTTGAACCCCGCCTTGCCCTACTATAGTATAGAAACCGGGCCCTGGTGTCTTTGGACGAGACTATTTAATTACATAGCTACGACTTTCAGAAGAGATATCCTTCAAAGATAAATGCACACCTGCTCACAACATTTGAAGCCGTCTTATCTATGATTTACGACATAATCTACTTATATTATAATATATATATAGTAATATAATAAAGAGGAACGATTTGTGTGTTTATTTGTAACAGATACACTCAAATACAACTATTTATTTTTTTATAATTTTTGCATCTATTTAATAATACATAAATAATATATATTTTTTTTATTGGATGAAAATGGAGTGGTAACACCACCTGCGCTAAACGCTGGCGGGGCACCAGTGAAGGGTGATCGATGAGGGTGAAAACAGGCCAGTTGGCCTATCATGATGAATTCAGCAGGAATTAACCATGATAGTTTCCAGGGAGAACCGCGAGGAGATCGACCTGGTTGGGTATATTGCTAGCAATGGGATTCTCAGTCTCCATTACTAACAATCCCTTTCCCCCTTATTAAATAATTGAATATAGGTACGTCAAGATACATTGTGTGCGTAAGTATATAGAACACTGATTAAAAAAAAAAACAAGTCAGCTAATTTGACAGTTAGCTGACAAAAAGTTGACGCGTTTTTGAGGATCGATGCTCTATCCATATAATGTAAGATATAAAAAGGCAACGAAATATATTTATAAAAACAAACAAAGAAATATATATGTGTAAATACAACTTACCCGCCAAGCAGCCACCTCCATCCCTGTAATAACCGGTTGGACAAATACAAAATCCATTCAGACCAGAACATTCCAAAGGTGAAGGGCACGGGTTCGACACATCACAGGAAGTAAAATGTTCACTCTCAAATGGCCCAACTTTAAACGTGACATTTTTAGTTGATTTCTCTTCTGATTTTACTACAGCACCTGTAATAATTATATTTCTGTTGGCTTTACGTACTCATATTTTAAATTCAAGAATGCTAGTTTCAAACTCGATATTTTTTATGCAACTTAGAACGGCAAACAAGCTGACGGCCCACCTGATGGAAAGTGGTAACCGTCGCCTATACACATGTGCAGTATCGTAGACATAATCGTATACTGTTTCGCCTATGATATTCTCCATGCATTACCATTCCTGAGGATTAAGGTGTTATTCCTCTGTACCCTGTAAATTCACTGCCATATCCCACCCTTCAAACCGTAACACAGCCACGCAAACACAACTGCTTCACGGTTGAAACACGAATGGGACAGAAGTACCCAAGCAAACGACTTTTGTACAAAGTCTCCCTCTGGTCTATTCATGTCTATTATAGTCTATTCATGTAACTAGTCGGACAATTGTGAATTTAAAACGTTAGCCGGCATAAATAATAACAATACAGTATTAATGGAGGAAAGGGATTGTTAGTAATGGAGTCTAGCTGACCCATTGCCAGCAATACACCCTATCAGGTCGGCCTTTACGCGGTTCCCCTGGAAACCATGGTGTTTAATTCTAGTGGAATTCGTCAACATGGGTTAACTGGCCTGCTTTTATCGTCACCTATCATCCCTCACTGGTGTCCCGCCGGTGTATACCGATAACGCAGGCGGGGACACCATTCCATTGTGTTTCATTAAAAAAAAATACAGTATGACTCACTGTAGTTATTATTAAAGTTGATTACCATTTGACCGTTAGAAATAAATCTTATGTATGTAATTTAAATTTATATTTAATCGATTGGATTTTCTTGGATCTATCGAATTGAAATCGAATCAAAATTACGTCAAAAAAAGACATAATGCTCATGTTAGCGGTAAGGGATTGTCGATAGTGTCCCATGGTCAGCAAAACACCCTATGCATGGCTCCTGTACCGTGTACAGGCCCCTTCCCGTGCCCAGTCCCAACAGTGACGTAATATTGTAAACATACCTTTTAAATTTATATTTACGCAGGAGAATGTACTTTGGTCGCACGCGCCATCATTAAATTGACAGTCTTCGTTCAAAACACAGCCATCGCCGACGGCTACAAGGTAATAATAATAATAATAAATAAAGTTTTCGCAAGCATTTAGATATTTTACAATATTCTTCCTACACAATAATAGATTTGCTACAGAAAGCGGTCATCCTCGATACCTGTAACATAGTTAGGAGTTTTTTCCTACCTATGCATTACTTAACTATAACTTTATCTTTAACTTTCCTCATTATTGCCATCGATAACATGTAGAATTTAGAGTCAACCATGCTTGGCTGAGGCACACATGGCTGAACATTTTACCCCCATAAAAAGGGAGATCTTACATCTAATATATATTAATATTTCTTTTTTATACAACTTAGAATGGCAAACAAGTTGACGGCCCACCTGATGGAAAGTGATAACCGTCGCCTATAGACATGAGCAGTACCGTAGACATAACAGAGTATACCGTTTCGCCCATGATACCCCCTATGCATTGCCATTCCTGAGGACTCAGGTGTTATTCCTCTGTACCCAGTAAATTCACGCCATATCCCACCCTTCAAACCGGAACACAGCCATGCAAACACAACTGCTTCACGGTTGAAACACGAATAGGACAGAGGTGGCCAAGCAAACGACTTCTGTACAAAGTCTCCCTCTGGTATAATATATAATAATAATAATAACAGGTGTACTTCCAATATACCTACACCATAGTTTAAATACAATTAATTTACCATAAAACACATACATCACAGTGAAAATCTTCCTGTTACTTCATGCAAGTTGTTAGAGAACCGATAATTCCTTCTAAAACTCCCTTCCTATTCATGCTGTATAACTAACTACAAGCGCCCTCTGTTGCACGAAATGCGATTGTTAGTTTTTAACAGTTAAAAAAAGGAACTCATGACGTGTGGCGTGTATAAAAGAAGAAGATTTCCGAAAGGCTGAAAACTAGTGTCCTGGGACTAAAGAAAACGCAGCAGACGGAATCCAGGAAGTCCTCATTCTTTCCCTTTTATTCGGTTCTCAATGAAATAAATAAAAGAGCAAAATTTTATAATATAAATCGAACACAAGTATATCTAACTAATAATACTTCATCACCATCATCATCATCATCCTATCAGACGTCAACTGTCCACTGCTGGACATAGGTCTCCCTTATTCTGGGTCCCCTATCTGGCTTTGCCAGAAGTAGCCACGCTTGACAGGCGGGTCAACAAGCGCAGTTAGGTTTTGGTCAAATTTAAAGAAAGACGCTGTTTCCCATCTTTCGACCATTAAGTTCTTTTAGTCCCTCTCACAACGACCACGGAAAAGAAAGGGGTGGCTCATTCTATGCCGGGACCATACGGCGTCATACGTATTTATTTATTTATTTAAACTTTAATGCACAGTGAAATTCTATGTACATATGACGGACTTAATACCGGACGGTGTTCTCTACCAGTCGACCATTGGGCGAACAGAGAAATACGTAGGCGGTGCACTATTGAATAGAGGAAATATAAAGTAATACTTGATATGTTCATATAATATAAACATATAAATAGATTAATATAAACATATATATGATATATTAATTATAGTAAATTACTGCAGCGGCCAGCAACTGAAGCATTGATGAACGAACGTGCAAATGTGGGCCGAGGCGTAGCCGAGGCACATATACGTGAGTCCATCAATGCCTAGTTGTGGTCAAGGCTTGTATAGTAGTACTTTTCTCAAACAATGCGCGGAAATCGAAAACAATTTTACTTTTTAATTTCAATGACGAATAACGAACAATAATAATTTTTCACGCGCCATGATGTTCCTTTTTTTTTTCAATAAACAGCTTTCTATTTGCAAGCCAGTTCGAAATTTAAATAAAACATTTTATTAGTTACCTCCTTGGTAGCCATGTTTCGAAGTAAAAGGTCATTCCATTTTTAAATTACAGGACAGATATGAGTTTACATAGTATATTATCTGGCCGCAAAACACGACAGATATGGATTTTCATACAACTTTTGCCGGCCGCCGTCCGCACGTATCTGACCAGTACGGCAATTTTGATTTATCTCGAAGAAGATTGTCAAAAAAATGCTCACATTTTTAAGCATGTTTGAGAAAAATAAATATATACATACAATAAATACATACAAACATATATAAGAACATGAAATATTACTATATAAAGCAATTAGATAAAACAACTGTAATAGAAGAGCGAATAGCAATCTAACTTATCAATTTCTTAATAAATAACCTTACCATAACCAATTTTCCTGCACTCCCCTCTCTGTCTAAGGTAGTACCCATCGGCACACACGCACGTTCCGTTGCAAACCAGGCTGTACGGGTTCCTAAGGACACTCATACATTGTTCATCTCTGATACACGGCTCCCCAAAGTCTACGGAAGACCAGCACCGCCCGAGGTAGTAATGGTGACCAGCTCGACAACTACAGCTGCCGACTGCGAAAGCAAAAGGAACAATGTAAGATTTTGTTGCACGAAGAAAAGAACCGTCTTCAATTGTGGTAAAACTGGTTGGTGACAAAAGAGGAAGGGGAAGACCGAGGAATGTGTAGGAAAAGAAGACATGGGACAGATGGAGGAAACACTAGATGTCATGTCGTATAGGGAGGTCAAGGATATGGCCTGGGATAGAGCTGGCTGGAAGAATTACTTGCACCAATAAAAGGAAACTCTTAAATGAAAAGTGAGAGAAAGAGAGACGATATGGCGGAAGTTACGGTAAGTAAGTAAGTGTCATCATATTATTCATTATTTGTCTATTAAGATTTGCCAGTAGTTGCCACGCTTGGTAGGCGGGTGGGCAACTGCAGTCTGTCTTTTGGTGATGGTCGCTCATGATCACCCACAATACCAAAGGCTGCCGGCCTTTTAATAAGGAATCGCTCTTTTCTTGATGGTTACTTTGTCATATCGGTTCGGAAATACTGTTGCTGGATGTTGGTTCCAAAGAGTGGTTGTGCGTGGAAGAAAGTGCCTTGAAAATCGCACGTTAGAGAACTGTCACTCGCCCAAATAGTTGAGATAGAACTTTAGTTTGTGGCGGGTTGTACGGTGGTGAAAATCAACAGCAGATATCAATCTGAACTATTTCTCAGAACACTCCCCGCGATATATTAGATAAAAGATGCACAGAGATGCAATATCTCTACGCAGTTTCAGTGGATCGAGTCGGACAGTAAAACGCTGATGATTAATTACTTGAGCCAATTGATTGAATCTGGTAACCGTAACACCCAACATGATGCTGTTCATGTCTTTATGCGACTGTTGCCATTTCAATCAGGTGAACCATCAGGGTATCTGTCTACTCCAGATGCCTAAAATGGTGTTTACTCTACGATATTACGCCTTACCCTCCCCATCGCCTTCGCGACGACATTCGAAGGCACTGAACAATCTAGAACACTGGCTGTCTTCGACGCATCTCGAATTGTAATATGGCGCCGCTGGAAAAAATGCATAATTTTTAAATTAAAATGTAAACTGCCATAAGAAACTAGTAATGTAACTTTTAAAATACCCATAACTCATCATATCACCATCATCCTATCGGGTTTTAGCTGTCCACTGCTGAACGTAAGCCTCCTCCTTGGGAGGTTTTTCCAGTAATTGCAAACGCTTGGCAGGCGGATTGGTAACCGCAGTTAGGTTTTGGAGATGTTTTAAGAGGGACGCTGCTGCCCATCCCTCGCCCTCCCTTAGTCGGCTCTTACGACACCCACTGGAAAGGGTTGGTCTATTCTATACCGGGACCACACGGCATTTATTTATGTTTGTAAACATCATATCTCCGTCAGTTATAAGTTGATTTGAAAAACTTTTTTATTTGAAGAGATATTTTTTTTACACAACTTAGAATGGCAAACAAGCTGACGGCCCAACTGATGGAAAGTGGTAACCGTCGCCTATAGACATGAGCAGTACCATGGACATAACAGAGTATACTGTTTCGCCCATGATACCCCCATGCGTTGCCATTCCTGAGGACTCAGATGTTATTCCTCTGTGCCCAGTAAATTGACGCCATATCCCACCCTTTAAACCGAAACACAGCCATGCAAACACAACTGCTTCACGGTATACTTTAGATATACTTTCAGATTGGTCTCCATAGTATTTATTTCCAAATCGGTTCAGTATAGAAAGAAAGAAAGAAATATTTTTACCATGAAATGATGGAAATAAAATGTATTTTATTATATTCTATTTATCTGTTAAATTTATGTATTAATGGAACCAGAGGGAGACTTTGTACAAAAATCGTTTGCCTGGGTACCTTTGACCCATTCGTGTTTCAACCGTGAAGCAGTTGTGTTTGCATGGCTATGTTTCGGTTTGAAGGGTGGGATATGGCGTGAATTTACAGGGTACAGAGAAATAACACATAAGTCCTCAGGAAAGGCAACGAATGGGGGGTATCATGGGCGAAACAGTATACTCTGTTATGTCCATGGTACTGCTCATGTCTATAGTCGACGGTTACCACTTTCCATCAGGTGGGCCGTCAGCTTGTTTGCCATTCTAAGTTGTATAAAAATGAAAAAGAAAATTCACTAAAATGGTGTCACTCAGCTATATGCCATGTTCTTTAGAAGTACTTTAGCTTTTAAATTAAAAGTTTAGTTTTAAAACGTAGTTTTGTCAGAATTAAAGTAGGTACTTTTTTTATGTACATAAATAACATACCATCAACACATGTGCTGCCACCAAGAGCGACCTCCTGGCCAATGGGACACCTGCACCCACCATCGACACATACACTGCCCGTGACGTCACACTCGGAGTCATACGAGCACGACCATAACGCGTCACTTGTATGTGGATAATTAAATAGTACTGAAAACCAGCAAAATATAAATTTAATTCATTACTAGCCTTCTCCCGCGGCGTTGCCCGCTTCTAACTGTGTAGTTCCCGTATATCATTCCCATTGGAACCCTTCATGCATGGCTGTATTTCGGTTTGAAGGGTGGGATATAGCAGTGAAATTACAGGGTACAGAGGAATAACATCTGAGTCGTCAGGAATGGCAACGCATGGGGGTATCATGGGCAAAACAGTATACTCTGTTATGTCCATGGTACTGCTCATGTCTATAGGCGACGGTTACCACTTTCCATCAGGTGGGCCGTCAGCTTGTTTGCTATTTTTCTCCATGTCCTCTACCCAAAGGTTGTCTGGAAGAGATTGCTTAGCGATAAGGCCGCCTTTTGTATCACCTGTCATTAATATTTACACGTATTTGTCATTTTTATTTTCACTTGGCGCAATAAAGTGTAAAATAAATTAAAAAAAAACTTATAAATACTTACTACACAAAATTAATATCCAACTCTTCTGTAACATGACACCGATATCTAATATATATTTATGTATATATATATATGTATATACCGATGTATATTTACCACAGATTAATATCTTACTTGAAACAGTACCATCACAGTTTTCTGTTACAGAATAAATGAGTTGTTCCAATATGTTTTTTTTTTTATCGTAACGATTAAGGCGAATTAGTTGCCTTGATAAGATTAACACATTTGAATAACAGGACAATGGTGTAATAATCGTGTTGTAATAACGTGATGATTGGCCCATTTGAAATATTTCTCTGTATTCATGTATTCATGACTAAACTAATAGTTCTCCCTTAACTTAAGGTTGTCTGTAAGAGATCGCCCTAGCGATAAGACCGCCTTTTGTACCTTTATGTGTATATTTCGATCTGTATTTATGTTACTGTATTTCATTTGAATTATTCACTTGTCATTGTATATTTTTATTTATGGTGCAATAAAGAGTTAAATAAATAAATAAATAAATAAATTAAAGTGTTGATATACTTCCCCATTACATTATATTTATTTAAATTTGTAATAACTTGAATACAATTTCCATTATTTATATTATATTATTATTCATATTGTTAATATCTTTACAACATTTAATAATTTAATTATATTTTAATGTTTGTCAAACACAAGGCACGCTGTGGTTGCCCATAAATGTAGGAACAGTGAGATCTGAGCTGCCAGTGTATTGTACTAAAATGTTTAGCTGTATCTTATGTTGGTAATCCTATAAATAAATAAATAAATAAATTTATTGATTTTGGTCATTTGTTCATGTATGTATATGTACATGGCAGCCCTCAGGGCTCTTCAAGAAAGGCGTATTAATAATAATAATAAGTTAGCTCTGAAGTACGGCTTCGCGAATGAGAGGTTGCCGAACTATAAGTACGAGCCCCAGCCGGTCCTCGAAAGCGACAGCGTCAGGCTCTACTGGGACCGATCCATCATCACGGACAGGACAGTTCTTGCGAACAAACCTGATATCGTGGTGATGGATCGGACACTCTTGAGGATGTTTTTGGTGGATGTCACCATATCGCATGACGAGAACCTCGTGAAAGCCGAAACCGAGAAGAAGAGAAAATATCTCGACCTGGCTCACGAGGTGACCGAAATGTGGGGGGTGACGTCCACCGAAATCATTCCAATCATTCTATCGGTGAACGGTCTCATTTCAACTAGTCTGGAACAACATCTCAGACGGTTGAGATTCCGAGGCGGCTCACTCCCGGGAAAGATGCAGAAAGCGGTGCTCTTAGATTCTGCCCGCACTGTACGCCGGTTATTATTACAATAATATTCTTTATTATCAGGTACTTAACCCATAGAGGTACAATTGTATTACAACGTGCTCGTGGTAACATATAAAAATATAACAATCAGAACATACAAAAAAAAAAACAAAATATTACAATTAAAATATGTAGAAAATTTATAAAAAGTAAAGTAAATAATATAGCAAACACAGTTATTAGATAAAAAACAAGAGAACATTCTTTAATGTTCCTGCCTCGGTGCACGGACAACCAATGCTTTTGAATGGGACTGCTCAGACACTGGGACAATGTGCTGAGGATTTCATTCTTTGAATTCCGAATGTGAGCCCAGAAATTTGCTACACGATATCTTATTATAGCGAACAAATCATTCACACTGGACTCCTCAAACATGGCCGACGCACTACAATATTTCGGAAGCCTCATCAAAATGCGGTATGCATTATTACACTGCACTCTAATGCTGTTCCGCGCACTTTTGGTGCAATTTGTCCAAAGCTGACAATGTTTCTATACATTGACAAAATGCTCGAAACAATGTCGACTTCACATCTGGCCTGCAAGTTCATGCGAGCAAGTTCTTCGCGCGAGCATGTTGCAATGGACGGCCAGGGCCCTTCGTTCTCGTTTCACATCTCCGTCATCGTGAACATCCTCTGTCACGTTATGTCCCAAGTGTCTGAATCGACCCACTCTTTTCACTGCAGCGCCGTCTATAAAAATTGACGGGATCCTCTCCGGCCCTCTCCCAGACCGAAATACTATCATTTGTGTTTTTTTTTACATTGTATTTCAGTCCATGACTTGATGCATAACGCTCACAAACTGCTAACAATTTTCTTAGTCCACTATTAGAGGGACTAAGAAGAACCATATCATCAGCGTAGCTTATACTACTTAAACAAGTAGTTCCAATATGACAGCGTACTTTGGCGCTCCTTAGTTCCCCTATCAGGTCATTTACATATAAATTTAAGAGGTCCGGTGAGATCAGGCCTCCTTGACGAACTCTGCACTCTAGTCTATACTCACTAGAGGTGGTGCTGCCCCATTTTACAAAATTCGTCTGTCCACAGTACCAGACCCTCAACAGATTAATAATTCTGTTTGGTACAGCTGATAAATTTTGTTTCTCCCACAGTAAATCATAATTTACCGGGTCGAAAGCTCGACTTAAGTCTAAAAAACACGCGTAAACTGGCGTACTTCTTCGACATAATAGTGAACGGCCGATTTAAAACAAAATATAGCTGAATCCGTCGAGAGTCCAGGCCTGAAGCCAAACTGCGCATCATCTAGGAACAGAGGAATAACACCTGAGTCCTCAGGAATGGCAACGCATGGGGGATATCATGGGCGAAACAGTATACTCTGTTATGTCCATGGTACTGCTCATGTCTATAGGCGACGGACCACTTTCCATCAGGTGGGCAGATTCTGTTGTATAAAAAAAATATCTATTTTCATATAATACTACGTTGCAGCTCTGGTTGAATTAATCTTTCGAGTATCTTACCAATAATTGTACCTAATGATATGGATCTATAATTGTTAATATTCGAAGGGTCACTAGTTTTATGTTTCTGAATAGGTACCACTACAGTTAAGTTAAGGTAAGTAAGTAAGTTAAAGTAAGTTAAGATTTCTTAAAGATTGGCAACGCGCGTGTGGCATCCCTGGTGTTACAGGCGTCTCTAGGCTACGGTAACCCCGTTTACCATCAGACGTACCGTATGCTTGTTTGCCACCACACAGCCATGCATAGATTGCTATTTTCTTTCACACGGGTTTCGTTAGAACACTAAGAGAATTCAACTCGAAGGATGGTTGTACCTCTTAAAATATTACCAAAGCCTAACTGGACATAACAGAGTATACTGTTTCGCCCATGATACCCCCCATGCGTTGCCATTCCTGAGGACTCAGGTGTTATTCTTCTCTTCAAACCGAAACACAGCCATGCATAACTGCTTTACGATTGAAACACGAATGGGACATATATATATATATATATATATATATATATATATATATATATATATATATATATATATATATATACGGTATATTATCATATTTTATCAATGTTTTGTCATATACATTATCTTATTAACGTGCAGGTGTTAAACTATTTAGAATTAACTAACGTAAAGCTGGTTATTATCAACAAATAGAATAACATTCAAAGGACGTATTATTATTTATTTATTATTATTATTGTTACACTTATTAAAGTGATAAGAGGGTTTTTATACTGGTATTTTTATTTTGTCAACAAATTTCAGATTGCTATTTTTATAGAAAATATACTTTCCCTATTTGGTGATTTGCGAGTGGTTGCCACGCTTGGGGGTTTTTTTTAATGGGTAATAATGAAATGGTAACCCCGCTGACGCTATTGGTATACACTAACGGGGCACCAGTGACGGATGATAGGTGAGGATGAAGCAGGTCAGTTAGCCCATCCTGATGAATTCAACTAGAATTAAACATGATGGTTTCCAGGGGGAACCACGTGGAGGTCGACCTGATAGGGTATATTGCTAGCAATGGGGCTATTACACCTTATTACTAACAATCGAGAGGAAGAGAGTGTTATCAATGGGGAGATCAGTCCCCATTGATTACAATACAACCATATCAGGTCGACCTCCACGCGGTTCCCCCTGGAAACCGTCGTAACAAATTTATTGTTGAATTGGTCACGATGGGCTAACTGACCTGCCTTTTCATCCTCACCTATCATCGTTTACGGGGCTCCACCAGTGTAACCACTAGGAGTCCTCAGGAATGGCAACGCATGGGGGCATCATGGGCGAAACAGTATACTCTGTTATGTCCATGGCACTGCTCATGTCTATAGGTGACGGTTACCACTTTCCATCAGGTGGGCCGTCAGCTTGTTTGCCATTCTAAGTTGTATAAAAAAGGTAAATGGACTAGAAAGGTAGATGGTATACCTAATTTTTGCTTTTCAATTAAGAATTTTTTAAAATTTATTTTGTAGGAGAACTTAGTGGTGATTACTCTAAATAAGATAGATAGATACACTTTATTGTTTCCTCCAAAAAATTACAATAGTAAACTTATTATGAATATAAACAATTACAAGAAATAATCTTTACCTTATCGCTAAATATATTTAGCATGGATTGACAGCCCCATTGCTAGCAATATGCCTTATTTACCTCCACGTGGTTCCACGTGGACCATCGTGAACATTCTTGTTAAATTCATCTGGGCTCGTTTATTCACATATAATCCTAATATAATAGCGCGGGTGGGGTTACCATTTTATCATGATTAAAAAAAAATCTTTTTTTATACATAATTTGGTGGGAAGCACGATATGTGAAATATATCGCCGACTGTACTAGTAAGTGACGTCTTCATAGTGTGTGTGCTATATTTAGAAGGCCTTTGTTGCGCGGCGTGACGTCATCACTCGGACAGGGTCCGCTAGTACGGGCTTGTAAAAATAAAATTATATATACATAAATATATATTACACTAACGACCCATTTTTACAACATTTTTACAACATTTTAGAAAGTGGTCATTGTGACATAACGATAATAGTTGGACATATAGTGTCGCCAAGTTTTTTGTAGTTATTGATATTTTCTTCAATATTGTAGTAATTGTTGTATTTTTGTTCTAGTATAAATTGAAAATAAAATTGTTTTTTAATTGTTTCTATGATTACATAATTAAAAAACAAACAACAAATCGTGAAATGTCATGTTCAATGATTTAAAGATTTCTGGATTTTTTTATTGTAAATTTTTAAAGCCATGCGTACGATATTTTTTGTAAAGGTTATCTTTTTTTAAATTAAATC